GTAAGCTGTCGCCCAGCTTGCTCTCTCTACGGGTACGTAAGCTGTCGCCCAGCTTGCTCTCTCTACGGGTACGTAAGCTGTCGCCCAGCTTGCGCACGCCTTACACCATCCAGCTGATTTTTGGGTCTTGCCATGCATGCGGGAGATCCACATGCATGGGCAAGAGGGGGAGCGCAGGGGGAGCGCAAGGAGGTGCGGTGTGCCCCCCCTGCACCCCATTTTTGGTCCCAGGAGGCTTCTAGGAAGCCTGCTAGGCCCAAAAGCCTGCTAGGCCCAAAATGGGCCATGGGGGTGTATGATATTCCCCCAGGCCCATTTTTGGTCCCAGGAGGTTTCAGGGAGGCCTGCTAGGCCCAAAAAGGGGTGCAGGGGGTCGCACATCCATGTGCAGGGGGCGGTGTGCACGCAGGGGATTTGCTTGCGCATTGCATTATGGGTGTGGGCACGTAGACGTGCGCTTTCACAAGCGTGCTAGTGCTTTAGGCACGCGAGGAGAAAAAGGTTGTCCATCACTGGCCTAGTGTGTTATCCAGCAGTGTTTATAAAAGCTGCCAAATCATTTTATATAAATCTTTGTTCAATTAATGCTCAAAAAGCTGCTTTTGATTTTGATGCAGAGAATATTACCACGGGTGTCAAATGGATGCATCACGCACAGGCCACACCCACACCCAGCTCTGTGAATGGGAAAAACAGTGAAACATCATGTGATGGCAATGTGATGCAGCAAGTTTGACACCTATGATATAGGCAGTTCTTAGCTCAACAATAGTAATTCTCAGAAGGATATAGGCATCCCAACTGCTCATCATTTATGCATGAGCCAGCAGTGTGCTGCAGCTGCCAAAAAAAGCCAATGTAGTCTTAGACTGTATCAACAGAGGGATAGCATTAAGGTCATGACTAGTACCACTCTATTCCACTAGTGAGAATATTGTGCCCGTTTCTGGTCACCATGATACAAAAAAAAAAGACGTTGAGGCTTTAGAAGAGAAGACCAACAAGAGGTCTGAACATTAAATTGTATCAGGAATAGTTAAGGGAACTAGGTATGTTTAGTCTAATGAAGAGTATTAGGGGTGACATGACAGCTGTCTTCCGGTCAGTGGTGGGATTCAAATTTTTTATTATCGGTTCTGTGAGCGTGGCTTGGTGAGTGGCAGGGGAAGGATACTGTAAAATCCCCACTTCCTTCTGATCAGCTGGAACTTTGGAGACAGAGAATAGAGGGGGCAGGGACAGTCAAGAGGTGGTATTTATTGGTTCTCCGAACTACTCAAAATATCTGCTACCAGTTCTCCAGAATTGGTCAGAACCTGAATACCAACTCTGCTTCCAGTACTTGAGGGGTTGTCATTGAGATGAGGGGGTTCGCTTATTCTCCAAAGCACCACATGGCCGGACAGGAAGTAACAGGTGGAAGCTCATAAGAAAGGTCCTGACAGTGAGAGCAATTAATCAATGGAACAGCTTCCCTACCAGAATTGTGCTTGCTCCATTGTTGGAAGTTTTCAAGGAAATGTTGAATATCCATTTGTCTGGAATGGTAGGAGGACTCCTGCCTTAGGCAGGGGGGGTGGACTAGAAAACTTCCAAGATTTATGATTCTATGATCTTTTGTTACCTTTGGTGACCTTTCAAACACCTGGTGTGTTTCTGCATAAATGCTAGCAGATAAAGGAGCTTCTTTCTTCATTTCTTTCACTTCCTGGAAAATAAAAGTGGTTATTGTTCTCAGGCATGGATACTGGCCTTCTGTAAACAGACATGTACCCAATATTTCACATTTAGTATAATCTCAAGAAAACATTACTGGGTGAAGAGTAACATGTTACATAATGATACTCGACCTAAATGGGCTTAGTTGCATCATGTACTAATTTGGAAAAAATCTTTTCATCCTCCATAATCCTGCCTAATTAACAGGCCCAAAGCGAAGTATGCAAATGAAACAAAAATGTGATGCACAAAATATTTGATATGTTTTGGTACAGAACTAAATTACTTAGTACAAAATTGCAATTTTATTTTTTCAGCTTGCCGGACACTCAAAAAAGGATGCGTGGAGGTCACAGGGATAAAAGGTGCCATTCAAATCAAATACAGCGCACAGGAGGCAGTACTGGTCAAGAAAAATGCATGGGGGACATAGGGATATGTGAGAGGTGCTGCGCTAGATGGAACTGGTACAACAGGGGATGGGATGGCGTAGGTTGGGAAGGTTGCCTGGGGATGCTTAGGATTCTGCAAGAGGTGCTGTACATGTTAAAAAACAGCATTTGGGACAGTGCAAGTGCTGAAGGGGCTGCATGAGTCAGGAAGAGTGCCGGGAGTGCATAAGGTGTCATGCAAGCCAGGGAAGAGTTGCGGGGGCAGAAAGGCTGCATGGGGGTGCCTAAGAGGTGCCATATGAGTCAGGGAAACCACATGGGAGTACAACATGGGTCAGGGTGCACAGACAAGCGCAAGAGATGCTGTTATGAATTAGAGAGGGTGCGGAGGGGGTAGTGCAGGCCAGGGAAAGCACTCATGAGACAGTACATGCTGAGGGTTCCTTCTTCTTTATTTGACCCTTCTTTCCCTTTCCCTTCCAGCAGGGAAGTTGGGTGGGATTGAAAAACTTGTTGGGAAATTGTCATGGAAAGTTGAAAATGAAAATCATGTGAACTCCAATAGCAGCCAATAGTATGAAGCAACCACAACGTCCCTGAATTTCATTCCTTTGGGAATTGTGGGTCCTGGATTTTGGACACATTCTGCATTTGAGGTAATTCAAATATTGCTTCCCTATAATGCACTATATTGGACGCTTAAAGGTCATGAGAGTTTTAGTATAATATGTAGATAACTGTTACAATTCACATTTTCAATATAGGAACATACTGCAAACAATGTGCAATAGTCATGAATCTGGCTAAGAATTTCCTCCCAAACGATTCATTGCAATTTATCTTACGTTAGATGACCTGAATTCACATTATATCTGGAGATTAGCAAGTCTTTCCTACTACTTATAATTAAAGATTAGCATTAACCTGAGTTTTCACAGGTTTGGAACAGAAAACAATTCAAACAAAGACAGGCAAAAATCACTTCAACAAATCACGAAGATAATCCAGAAGAAACCACAGCAAAGATAATCTTCTAAACAATACAGTGCAATTCAGCTTTGTCTCCAAGATGGAATAATTTGGAAATTAAAGGCATGAGCAGAGATGGGTTACTATAGGCAATATTCTTACAGTATTCTTGTTTCCCCTTTCAGATATGAAGTTTTACTCTTTATTCTCCTGTTCAACCAGAAACTAGAGATATTTTTTCTGGCATATAGCAATAGCATTTAGACATATACTGCTTTACAGCCCTCTCTAAGCGGTTTACAGAGTCAGCATATTGCCCCAACAATATGGTCCTCATTTTACCGATCTCAGAAGGAGGGAAGGCTGAGTCAACTTGAGGATCGAACTGCCAAACTGCTGGCAGCCGACAGCCAGCAGAAGTAGCCTACAGTACTGCGTTCTAACCAATGCGCCTCACAATCTCCAGGCTGTGTAGGCACAATGAGTAAATATCAGCTGCGAAATCTGCATTGGCATCAGGAAGGGCATCTGGCCAATACACACTTAGCTCCTTTCAATTGCCCCAATTCCACCCTGATGCAAGGGATTACGGGGGGAAATAATATGTACGCTGTACCTAATAAAAGATCGAATAAAAGAGTAAATGGAATATTGCAGCCTTTGTTGGCTCAGAACAATTTTTTTTCTCCAGCATTTGATTCTTTTTTTTAATCTTTCAGACTCTTGATAGTTTAAATGCATAAGGAAGATTATTTTATTTTTGAGATACAAAAACAGTAGAATCTACATTTCTTTACTTAGATTTTAATCAATGCCCCCACCTTACTACCAACCACAGTGCTAAAAAATCAGAGCACTAAGAGAAAACAGAATAAGGAATGGTCCCTTCACTTCAGAGGTAAAGCATGCTTTGAAGAACATTGCAATATAATGATAGAAGTCACAATATTTTCCTTAATTAAGTTTACATCTTACATTTCAATCAGGGAAATAGCAGAAAATCCCAATGGCTGCAAGGTTTATCAGCCAGTGAAAGCCAGTAACAGAGCTGTTTCTGTAAACTTTTTTAAAAGTAAAGGCTAAAACTGAAACCCCAAAATTTCCAGACAGCAAGAACCAATTGCTGGAAAATCATCACTTTTTCATGAAATGCAGCTGCTGCCCTTTTAGAATGAAGGGAAAACGTTATCTGCTGTAGCTCTACTTCTTTTGTCCCCTATAGAAAAGGCCTTTTCTGAAAGACATTTTAAAAATATATATTTCTGATTTAACAAATGAGCTAGCAAATGGGATTCCTGAAACTTCAGTTTTGTATGTGCACCTTGCTTTATAGAGAAATACTGGAAATAAGAGATGGATATAAAATAATTCTGACAAATTACAGAAAATACAAACTTACAAAAACTCAGAATCAAAACAAAACACTCTGGGCTGTATGAAGCCAGACAGAAGAGTTACAGTCAATGTGCTGAACTATAAATGCACTTGCAGAAATTATTCTTAAACTCTGTATTGATGTGCTAGCAACCTTGTGTCTACACCTGGACAATACTGTCGCTTCTTTCCTCTCCCAATAGTGCATGCTAGAGAAAGGATTAGTCCAGACCTTCCATTTCAGATATTTCTAGATCTTGAGAAATAGTCAGCCGAGTAGTTCTGAACAGCCTCAGTTTTTAAAGGCACAACAGTAGAGATCAATGAGGGATGACCTGAAACCAAAGAGCTAGAAAACAAGAAGGAATTCCAGTTCTGGACTTGGCAAAATGAGAGGACAAACTTCTGCAGTGACCCAACTGATCCATTTGCAATTCTTGGAAAGAAGATGCTCCTGAGGATGAAGAGCTGCAGCAGCTACTGTAAGATAGCAGCATACTATTCTTATGCAGAGACAAATTTCAATCCATGTAGCCATCAGTGCTTCTAAGGCATTCTTTCAGATTTCACCTTAAATTATCAAAAATTGCTGGAGATAAAGAAAACAGGAACTGGGGAATCCAGTATTTCCACTTGGCTCTTAACCAGGAGGGCTGTTCTGCCTTTCCAGTGCCCTATCTTAACTGTGCAGAGATCAGGAGAAACTGTTCCTTCTTACTTTGCTCCATCAATTTGTTCACTTCATTTCTTCCTACGAATCTTGGGCTTCTTCACTGGACGGAGGTAAGGATTGTCTATCAAGTTTTCCTCTCCATTTCGACTGCCAGAAAGAGAAGTATTGTGCTGAAGTACTGACGCATTCTCCTTCTCAGCTCCTGAATCGTCCTGGCAGATAAGACATAAAGTGAATATTATCAGATTTAAAACTGAAAAATTAGTACCCATAAGAAAAACCAAGATGGAACAGAAACAGATATACAACATGCAACAGGCACACAACCCTGGTACATCCCAGAGAATATGATGCATTCTGCTGAATAATGGGAAAAATCATTCTGGAATTAAAGTAGTACAAGACTGAGCATTGATGAGATTCGCTTTTCAGGATTAAAAGCTGCTGTTGAAGAAGAGGGAAAAATGAGGTAATTCATGCAATAATCCTGCTTTTTATGTATTTTTGAGGATGTGTTACTATGAACTCTGGTGATCTAGGATCATTTTGTTTTTAAATGGATATTTTGCCATTTTAACATTTAACCAGATAGCTTCCACTAATGGATAATGTTGCCATAGGCAAAGCTTACCCAACTGCTAAGGGAGATGGAGAATAGATATCCTCTCTCAAACAATTGAACAAGTGATCCCTATCTTGCAGTGCTGCTTAATTGTCCACAAAGTTTTTTTTTAATTCTCTGTTTAATCCACCTGTTAACCCATATGCCAGATTCCTGCCAAATAAAGATGGAAGCATAGCTCTCATCTATCATCAGTATAAACCTTGATCAGACTGCAGCAACATTAGTCTGTTCTATTCAAAACCAAGGGCATGTTTCCTTTCTACGTTTCTCTTCCTTTATACAGCAGGTTCATTCTTCTCTAGATCAAAAGTTGCCCCAAAGCGAAGAAGGATATACAGGTAGTCCTGAACTTACAATAGCTTACTTAGTGACTGTTAAAAGTTACAACAGCAAAAAAAAGTGACTTATGACCATTTTCACACTTATGACCACTGCAGCATCCTCATGGTCATGTGATCAAAATTTAGATTCTTGGCAACTGATTCATATTTATGACCGTTGCAATGTCCCGGGATCACATGATCCCTTTTTGCGACCTTCTCACAAGCAAAATAAATGGAAAAGCCAGATTCACTTAACCACCGTTTTACTAATTTAAGAACTGCAGTGATTCACTTAACAAATGTGGCAAGAAAAGTTGTAAAATGGGGCAAAACTCACTTAACAAAATTGTCACTTAGCAACATAAATTTTGGGCTCAGTTGTGGTCATGGAGAACTACCTGTATTACACAGAGGAAAACTACACCACCATGTGGCAGGCTTGCTCCAAAAGTCTTCTAACTTTTAAGCATTTTTTGCATCTACCCTGTTTCCCCAAAAATAAGACCTCCCCATATAATAAGCCCAATCTGGCTTTTGAGCACATGCACTGAAATAATCCCTCCCCAAAATAAGCCCTCCTCTAAAATAGTTAAATGCATGTGCAGCCAGTCCCTGCCACTTCCTGGCAGGGGGAAGGGGGGAACATGCCCCATGCACCCCATAGATACTTGCCATCCATGTGGAATGGACTTGCAGAAGCTGCACCCGCAAACCCTAGCTACCATGCCCCTTTTCTTAGTCGCAGCTGCAAAAAGAGCAGCAGGCCCAGTGACACTAGGGCTGGCAAGAGTGTGCCAGAAACAGACACAGAACTTCCAACCCTCTCTGGATCAACTGATCCGCGGTCCATGGGCAGAGGTTAAGGGGCCTCCTGCACCTCAAAAATAATAAGAACTCCCTGAAAATAAGGCCAAGCGCTTATTTCAGGGGTCAAAATACCCTGATTTATTTTGGGGAAAACACGGTAGGATTATGTAGCAAATTGGGACTTGATCCACAAATTTCATTTACAAGGTGGCAGTTCAATACAGAGTTTCCAGAAATTTAGTGCTTATATTACATCGACTTAAGCAAAACATCTTGAGTTCTACCATGCTCATCTGGAGAGCGAGGTTCTCTGTGTCTGTCTGGTCATCTTGTTCAGACGAATCAGTCTCTTCCATCTGCTGCATCTCCAATTCAGAAGGAAGCAGAGCTGTCAGGTAGGGTATTGCAAAAGGCCTGGCAGCTATCACTGAAGACAAAGAAGGAGAAATTATTTTAGAAAACAATCAGAAAAAGTGATTTCTGATTCTTCTCTCAGATAATCCGCCTAAAATATAAGAAGCAAAGAAGGAAAATTGGTTTTACCAAGAAAGAAGCAGATTGTTTTAGATCATTTAATGCCCTATAAGTTGTGAAGAGATATAATGTAACTCTCTGTGTAATGGATGTTATTGTTGAATATCTGTTAACAGTGGGATTATTACACATGCTCTATACAGGGCTACCCTGTATATTCGGAATCTACAACTAGTACAGAACATAGACAGCTCTGGAGACCCCCCCCCCCTCAGGTGATACACATGACACTGCTGTTATGTGAGCTGAACTCACTGCCTATTTGTTTCTGGATCCAATTCAAGGTGTTGGTCATCAGCTTTAAAGCCCTTTATGGAATAGATCCAGGGTATCTGAGGAACCACCCTACCCCAATGGGACTAACCTGCCCCTCTCATTCCAGTGCGAAGGGCCTACTTTGGATCCTGTCAGCCAAAGAATTTCAGCTGGCGGGATTCAAGAAAAGACCCTTTTCTGCTGCGGTCCCCACCCTCTGGAATATTCTCCCATCAGAGGTGAGATCTGCCCCCATATTCTTGGCCTTCCCCCCAACATCTAAAAGCTTGGCTCTGCTGCTTGGCCTGAGGCCAAGGGAGCTGCCACAAGATGTAGATGGTCTCCAGGCTAAAGGCAGTGCTGGAACTCAGGCTTCCCCACTCCTGGTCCAGCATCTTAATCTCTAGACCAAACATGCTCTGCTAGGCTTAGTAAACATATTTTACATGTCTCAAAAACACACACAAAAGGAAACATTCCAACAATTTTAGCCCCCACTATCTCCACCATCTCAACAATATGATGCCCAGCTGCAAAAAAAGTTACCTGCCTTTGATCCTAAGCACTAAGCATTATACTGAAACAATGTATCCTCCCCCCAATTGCAGCCTAGACACCTCTTACAAGGAAAAGTGCTGACATCATCTTTGAAAAGACTCTGTGTCTCTCCAGTTTTTGCCATGAAGCGGGTCAAAGCTCTTTCAACATCTCGTCTCTGTGAAGCAGCTTTTTCTCGCAAGATCTGATAATCCAGTACAGGCTCCCGATAAGTCTGTAGGCAAAGGAAGGGAAAACAGAAATAAGGACTATGCATTAACTTATCACAGGCCTTTCTCCCACTCTCGGGGGAGGCGGGGCGCGGAAGAGCCAGTCACTCATGCACATCTAATGGAGAATCAAAGCTTTTTATTCATGGCATGTCTTCCAAAAATAGCAGAAAAGAATTTCTATTCTAGGACCACACATTTAACACTAAAGGAAATTTCTACTGCATATCGTTCTGTATCACTTTATGTATTTTTAACAATACTTTATGATTATTTTATGTAAGACTTACTGGTGTTTTGATGTAAGTATGAGGATCCGGAAACTCTGGGAAATGGCTAGGGATGTGAGAAGGATGAGGTTTGTTCTGTCCAGCTGTCAGGGCTTTTGGGGTGACAGGCTGATTTGTTACAGGTGCTGTAATTGAAAATGGAAATTTGATGACAACTTCTACCACGATGCTATCAGTCAACTGAAAAGAAAAATAATGCAATGGCTCTGCCATCTAATATGACAATTTGTTCAGACAAAAGGAATAAGAACATTGTTCAGGAAACAAAATATGAAAAAGCAAAATATTTAATGCAGACCAATCCTGAAATAACACGTTAACTAATTTGAAACCACCAAAACCATAGAAAATTCTACTCTGAACCGTCTTCTCTTTTCCATTGATTATCAATCCAGTGCCATCATGTACTTTTTCCATGTTCTCAAGTTCAATAACAAGGAACATGGATAAAAGGATAACAAGATCCATATACAACCAGTTCATATTTAGGGCTCAACTGTGCCATTCTGAATTCCTTAACTGACATGATAGGTGATAAGAATGGGGCACAGCTAAGCAGAGGACAGAGCTCCTTTAATGGCTGTTAAAAATGGGATATTCTAAAAATGGGATCATCCCATATCTATTACCCGAATGATGAATGAATGTTGTTTACTATTTTACTTTTATGTACTATTTTGTGTCTATTGTCTGTACCCTCCCT